ATTTTGATAGTCAATATAAACTTAACCAAAGGAAACAACTGGAAGACAAATAAACTTAGTAAATAAAATTAATAGTTTATATCTCTACTAGCATAAAGAATGCATATACACTGATGAGAAATATGAGCTGAATGATAATGATCAGAAAATCTACAAAAGGAGAAATACGATTAAATTGTAAATGTATAGGGAAAATTTACCCTTACTAGTAATCAAATAAACTAAAACAAGATGCCATTACCAGTTCAGGGCTTCTTACCTCAACGTTACTGATGTTTTGGGTTGGATAATTATTTGGAGTGGGGGCAGCACTATCCATGACAGGATGCTTAGCGGTCTCCCTGGCCTCTGCCCAGTCGACGCCACCAGCATTCCCCACTCTAGTCTTGACCATCGAAAAGGTCATTATTAAATGCACACTGGGAGCAAACTCTCTTTGAGCCGAACTGGAAAAACTCTACCGAAGACACTGTTCTAGTCTATCTAATTGGCAAATGTGTTAGTTTGCGTTAATGAACGTTACGTTGGGCAATGGCAATCGCGTATACTTTGCTGGCAGGAGTAGAAAATGAACCATGATTTTTTTGACAATAGCTTTTTTGAAATATAATTCGCATGCCATCAATGATTTTTAGCATATTAACACAGTTGTACAATTGTTACCACAATCCAATGTGAGAACGTTTTCATCATCCCAAAAAGAAACTCAAGGTTGGGCATGGTGGCTAACACCTGTAATCTCAGCACTCTGGGAGGCCAAGGTAGGTGGATTGGTTGAGCTCAGGAGTTTGAGACCAGCCTGGGCAACATGGTGAAAATCCATTGCTACAAAAAATTCAAAAACTTAGCCAGGCAAGGTGACATAGGCCTGTAGTCCCAGCTACTCAGCAGGCTGAGGTGGCAAATCGCTTGAGCCCAGGAAGTCGAGGCTACAGTGAGCCAAGATGGTGCCACTGCACTCTAGCCTTGGCCACTGAAAGAGACCCTGTCTCAAAAAAAAAAAAAAAAAAAAAAAGCAAAAAACAAAACAAAACAAAAAACCAACACAGAACCTTATCTGACCCTAGGCAACCCCTAAACTATTTTCTACTATTTGCCTTATTCTGGATATTTCATACAAATAGAAACAAACAATGTGTATGCAGTCTTTTGTGATTGGCTTCCTTTATTAGCATAATGTTTTTAAGAGTTATCAATGTTTTAGCAGGTATCAAAACTTCATTACTTTTATTGCCTAATAATATTCCATTGCATAGATAAATCACAGATGTATTCATGAGTTAAAAATATTTGATTTATTATACTTTGGGACTGTTACAAAGAATATTGCCATGAAACTTTGCATACAAGTATTTGTATGGACATGTTTTCATTCCTCTTGAATAGATGGAAGTGACATTTATGAGCTGTAAGGTAATCTAATTTTTAACACTTTGAGGAACTGCCAAAATGTTTTCCAAAGTTGCCTTACTATTTTACATTTCCACCAGCAATGTATAAGGGTTTCACTTTTTCCACATTTTTGTCAACATTTTTTATCTTCTCTCTGATTATAGCCATCCTAGTGGTTGTGAAATAGTATGGTTTTGATTTGCATTTTTTTATTAATGATGTTCAGCATCTTTTCATGTGTTCATTGGCCATTTATGTATGTTATGTAGAGAAATGTCTATTAATATCCTTTGCCTAGTTTTTTAATTGGGTTATTAAGTTTTTTGTGCTTTGGTTTTTGAGACAAGGTCTCATTCTGTCACCCAGGCTGGAGTGCAGTGATACGAAGATGGCTCACTGAAGCAAACCTCCCACCTCAGGCTCTCAACCGCACACCACCACACCTGGTTAATTTTTGTATTTTTTGTAGAGATGGGTTTTTGCCATGTTGTCCAGGCTGGTCTTGAACTCCCGGGCTCAAGCAATTCTCCTGTCTCAGTCTCCCAAAATGCTAGGATTACAGGCATGAAACACCGCTATATATTTTGAATATGAATCTCTTATCAGATATATGGTTTGCAAATGTTTTCTCACATCTTGTGCACCGTCTTGTCACTTTCTTGGTATCATTTGCAGCACAGAAGGTTTTTTTTTATTTTGATCAAGTCTACTTAATCTATTTATTCTTTTTTTTTTTTGTTTGTGTTTTTGATGTGTATTTAAGAAAGCGCTGCCTAACCCAAGGTCACAAAGATTTACTTCTGTATTTTCTTCTTAGTATGGTTTTTGCTGTTACATATAGTGCTACGATTCATTTTCAGTTAATCTTTGCATGTGATCCAACTTCATTCTTTTCCAAATAGATGTTAGGTTGTCCCAATGCCATTTGCCAAAAATACTATGCTTTCCTCATTGAATTGTCCTAGCACCTGTATTTTGAAAAATCTTTTGGGCACAAATGTATAAACCATTTCTGGACTCTGAATTCTGTTCCATCAACCTCTACGTCTTTCCTTATGCTAGTGCCACACTGTCTTGATTACTTTAGTTTTGCAGCCAGTTTTGAAATCAGGAAGTGTGAGTCTCCCAACTTTGCTTTCCTTTTTCAAGATTGTTTTGGCTGTTCACTTGCACTTCCATATGAATTTTAGATCAGTTTGACAATTTCTACAAAGAAGACACCTGGGATTCTGATAAGCATTGCATTAAATTTGTGGATGAGTTTTGGGAGTAATGCCATCTTCACAACGATAAGTGTTCGGACCCATGAACGTGGGATGTGTTTCCCTTTATTTAGGTCTTGTTTAATTTCTGCTGATGATGTTCTGTAGTTTTGTAAAGTACAAGTATTTGTCTTTATTTATTTATTTTTTTAGACAGAGTCTTGCACTGTCACCAGGTGGAGTGCAGTGGCGTAATCTTGGCTCACTGCAACCTCTGACTCCCTAGTTCAAGTGATTCTCCTGCCTCGGCCTCCCAAGTAGCTGGGATTACAGGCATGTGCCACCGTGCCCAGCTAATTTTTGTATTTTTAGTAGAGATGGGGTTTCACCATGTTAGCCAGGATGGTCTTGATCTCCTGACCTCATGATCGGCCTGCCTCGGCCTCCCAAAGTGCTGGGATTACAGGCATGAACCACTGCGCCCGGCCGTATTTGTCCTTTTTTAGTGCTACCCTTTTTGATGCAATTCTGTTTGACAGAATTTTTTTATTTTCATTTGCAGATTGTTCATTGTTAATGTATAGAAATAAGAAATACGATAACTGGATATTGATCTTGTGTCCTACAACCCTGATGCTCATTTATTCTAATAGTTTTTTAGTAGATTCTTCGGATTTTCTATATTTCAGATCATGTCACCTCAAACAGAGATAGTTTTACTTCTTTTCCAATCTAGATGCCTTTTATTTCTTGTTCATGCCTAATTGCCCTGCCTAGAACCTCTGCTACAATGTTGAATAGAAGAGGCAAGGTTGGCATTCTTGTATTGATACTGATCTTAAGGCAAAAGCATTCAATCACCACTAAAAACAGTGTTTGCTGTGGGTTTTTCATAGATGCCCTTTATGAGGTCAAGAAAGTTTCTATTTCTAGTTTATAGAGTGTTTTCATCAGACAAGAATGTTGGATTTTGCCAAATGTTTTTTCTGCATCCATTGAGAAGCCTGTGTGGTTTTCGTTCTTGATTCTATTGATATGATGACGTATTAACTGATTTTTCAGGTGTTAAACCAACCCAGCACTCATGGAATAAACCCTACTTGATGGTGTAAATTTCATTTTATGTGTTGTTGGAT